ACATTGATTCCTTCAGACGTGTCAATGGGGCAAATACAACCATAGTGACTAGGATGGATATCTCGTATCCGAAAATTAGCAGTTCGCCCTGTTAATCCGCCAGGGCCCAAATAACTCAACTTTCTCCCATGAACGATTTGTGTCAATGGATTAGTTCGATCCAAAACTTGAGATAATGGGTGTAATCCGAAAAAGGATTCATAAGTAGTTGTTAACGGGGTTGAAGTTACCAAATTTTGAGGAGTAGGTATCAATTTATGCCTAATTGCTCCGCCTATAGTTCCCTTAACTATATTTTCTAAACGAGCCAGAGCCAACCCGAGCTGGTCTTGTAAAAGATCCGCTACAGAGCGAATACGTTTATTTTTCAAATGATTCATATCATCAAGTGTACCCATTCCAAATTTCATCCCAATCAAATGATCGGCAGCTGCTAATATATCTCGTGGTAACAAAAATATATTGTTCTGAGGTATATTAAGATTAAGTCTCCAGTTAATATTTCGGCGACCAATCCTTCCTAATTCACACCTTTGGTGAAAGAATTTTTTTTGTAATTCCTTACATAAGGATTCAGAAAATATTGGATCCCCACCTACACAAGAAAATTGTTGATAAAACTCCAAAATAGCATTTTCTTTTGACCCAATTTTTTTTTTTCTCCTTATCGGTCAAGAAAGATAAGAAAATTTCAGGGTAGCAAACATTCTCTAGAATTTCTCTTAGATTCGAACCCATAGCTGATGATAGAACTAGAATAGATATTTTCTGTTTCCTACTCACACGAGCCCATATTCTTGCTTTTTTATCAATCTCTAATTCTAACCTGCCTCCCCAATCTGATATTATGGTGCCAGTATAGACGGAAATCCCGTTATGATCCAATTCTGACTGGTAATAGATACCAGGACTTTGTAATATTTGATTGATCACAATTCTGTATATTCCGTTTACTATAGAAGTTCCAAGGGAATTCATTAAAGGAATGTTTCCAATAAAAATTCTTTGTTCTTGCATATTCCTACTGGTTTTCCAAATTAATCCCGCGGATACATATAATTCAGAAGAATATGTAAGTGATTCATAGACAGCATCTCGTTCTTTTATCAGAGGTTCTACCAATTGATATGTTTCCACAAATAATTGAAATTCAATTTCGTGATCTATATCTTCAATTTTTGGAAATTTAGAAAGTTCTTCTATTAAACCCTGATCAATAAACCGATAAAACCCTTCAAATTGTATCTGATTAAATCCGGGGATTGTAGATGTTCCCTCTTTTCCATCCCCGAGCATCTTTTTTGAATTTCCCATTTATCCGTTTATTGAAAAAATCCCATCCCATCTCTCATTCTTCACCGAATCATATCCATAGAATTCGATCTAGTAATAATGGAATTTCTATTCTGTTTACTGAATCACATGAAATTTTATCCAACTCCAAGATATATGGAATGTATGAAATACGTATGAACGGAGACTAGATTCAATTGGAATTTTTTATAAGAAAGAGATCCAAATGGAAAATAATTGAGAAATACCACTGGAACTTATGGAGTTTTGTAAAGACTAAAAAAAAGTAATTTCATTTTCACCTATGATATTACATATTCCAATTGGATTGCATACCATAAAAAATGTATTCATGATTGGATCTGTTTGAGCAGATAAACATATAATAAATAGAAAACTTTTTTTTTTAACCGCTTTACTTTTTCATGTATTTTTATTTCATTGTTAAAAAAAATATTTGCAGAAAAGATATTTATTTTTACCTATTTTGATTTTTAATAGAATATTTAGAATATCCTTGAATTGAAGTAGGTAAGAAAACTTGTGTTTTTTTATTTATTAATTTTGTTTATTATTAAAATAAAAAAGAATGCACAGATATATATGTCTCTTTTTCTTCTTTTCTTGTGGTACAGTTCTATTTGGGACAGCACATGTTGTGCTCTATAAAAAATTCAATTTTCTCTTGAATGTATTCAATGAAAAATTGAAATAAAAAAATTTATTACGAATTACTCCTCAAAAGCATCCCTAGAGAGATAAAATACCCCATTATAGAGCTATAGCTCTATAAACAACGTAACGTATGTTCTGATTCTGGGGTTTACATATACTCATCATTACTGTTATAATTGAAATTGAAGAAGATTTATTTTTAATTGAAAAAACTCAATTTATATTAGTTATAAATCTATTTCTAATGATTTTATTATATTATTAGAAATAGAAATCAAAAAATGTAGATTTTAATTAAAAAATGGTCATGAATTTACAGTCAAATTTACAGTCAATAGTTAATGGTTCTGATTTGTACTGGATTCTATATTTTATTTTGTGACTTAAAATCTATATCTTTTTTTTCGGAGTTGAAAAAAAAAAGATAAAATTTGAATCTAGTTTATATCGTTTTGGCGGCATGGCCGAGTGGTAAGGCGGGGGACTGCAAATCCTTTTTCCCCAGTTCAAATCCGGGTGCCGCCTCAACAACAGACTTGAAATCCCCTATTAGAACTATAACAAATATAACTATAACAAACGTAGGAAAAGACTCCGGATACTTTCTTTTCGTGATTCTAAGCCCCTGGCTCTCGAGGTTCTATTCTCTAACCTAAAGTTTTGCCTATCAGAATCAGAAAAGGTAAGGTGGTTGAGAGAAATCCGTCTGAGTCTTCAATTAGATTGGATAGCCAGAGAGGGAATTAAATTAATAATTTTGGAAAGCACCTAAGATACTTTGGATACAGATTCATGAAAGTCTCGTAATGCTCAGACATTCAATCAATATTAGATTAGATAAAGAATTACCTTTCGTTTTACTTCCAAAAATAAAAAACGATAAAAGAAAGAAAACGTATTATTCTTTCTACATATGAGTCAGATTACTTGGATACTTCTAAAAGTATGCATTTACTTGTGTTTACATCTTGTCGATTCTACTAGAAATTCTATAATTAAGAATAACTCATTATAAGATAAGTGAATTTTTTGGAGTAGTTCATCGATGTTGACCAAATACCTCTCCCTTTTTTTGACTCTGCACCAGTGATTTCACTATTATTAGTGAACAATAATGGAATAGTTTCTTCATATTCATAGAAATAGGGGACAAAATTCACATGGATATAGTAAGTCTCGCATGGGCTGGTTTAATGGTAGTTTTTACATTTTCCCTCTCTCTCGTAGTGTGGGGAAGAAGCGGACTCTAGAAGTACTACTAATTGCGGTAATAATCAAACTCTATCAACCTGTATCAATTGTTTTAGTTTTCTAGACCGGTCGGCAAATTTTTTTAATATTTTTTTATTTTTTGTTTTATTGACTCATTTTCTATTTTTATATCAGGGTTTACACCGTTAACCATTCATGGGGTAACCCCTTTTCGAAATCTGAAGAAGTTTACATCAAATTCGGATTATCTGTATTAAATGGATCAAACAAATGAAATTGAGAAAGTATGTACATACATTTAATATTCTATTTAATTTATATTGACATTTCTAAAGAAAAAGAGAGATATGGGTGGATTCCTTTATATTAAGATAGTTCACTTGTATCTTTATACATTACAATAACCATAATGGCTAGTATGGTAGAAAGAGATCTCTTTCTACCATACTAGCGGGCCCCTTAGGCTACTACTACTACTGAGTCTAATGGATTCCTTTCATTTAAGACGAGAAGTTGAAATCTTTTTTTTTTTTTATTGATAATCAAATTGTATTTAAATTAATTATTTTGACTAACCGTTTTTACGTAAATTATAAGCAAAAAAGCAGTAGGAATGAGAATGAAGAGTGCAGTAGCAATAAATGCAAGAATATTTACTTCCATAATTTAATCGTTTATTATTATTTTTTTTTCTTTAGAATATCTCGGGATTTAATCCCATAGAGATGAGAAATCTTTCGCTTGTAAACTCACTCAGATGAATTAGATTTCGATGATATCGAATGAAAGAAATATCATGAATAACAATATCGGAACTATAAAATCGATTCATCGTCAAGAATTTAATAGTATAACATAGGAAGATCTTTTATCCACACCGAATACATAATGAGATTCCCGATCCAATCAATAAATATTTATTTATGATTCTTTTTCCCCGCTTTCTTTTCTACAACCTAATACTTTACTTTCCTTGTACAACCATCTGATGAAATATGATAAAAAACCTTTTCTACTTCGATTGTTTACAAAAAGAGTTTCTAAAGAAACTTAAATAAACAATAGAAATCAAATAGAGAAAACAAGTACGAAGTTCAATTTAAAATTTAAAAAATTTTTAAAGGGTCTATCATCTTGTTGGAAAACAAAGAAAGGGAATGTGATAAAGAGATAAAGACGAGTCCCGGTAAAAAAACTAGAATATTCCAAAAAAGTAACTGTTTCAATTTTCTTACGAGTTTTTTCTTCGATATCGACTCTAATCTTTAAAAAGAGCATATTCATTAAGGGAAGACTAATTTTATCTTTATTTTTTAAATATCCTCTTTCCTTGGTTGGATTCGAACTATTTTTAATTCCTTGACTTCATAGAAATAAAAGTATATATAGGTACTCTTGGCAAACGTATTATACGCTATCCTATTTAATTTTCCTACACGAGTTAATGGGAAATTAATTGACAAAAAGCAGAAACCCCATACAGTATCTCTTTCTTTAAGTGTTTAATGCTCTCAATAATTATAATTATACTAATTTACATATGTCTCTCTACCATCAATCGGTGCTAGTTAAAATAATGTAAATAGCCCTTTCTTTTGCTTGATGAAAAAAAAAAAAAAAAAAAAAAGGGGGGGGGTTATGTCTTTTTTTTTTATTGAATCCACCGGGACTGACGGGGCTCGAACCCGCAGCTTCCGCCTTGACAGGGCGGTGCTCTGACCAATTGAACTACAATCCCATGGAAATCAAGTGGGGTAGCTTAAATATTCCTTATTATGATTTCATTTTAATCATTTCAATGTGAGATTCAAATTAGTGTTGTAACAAAGAAAGTCACAAGTGATATATTGATATCTATATGGATATCACTTTAGTGATAGCAAGACGGATTACTGGTAATCCTTTGATTATTATAAAATCAATTGATAATCTATTTTTTATTGTAAAAAATAGATTATTTTCTCGACTCTGTTAATTAAAGTTTATATTTAAAGGATCCATATCGGGATCCTTAGCAAGATCAAGATCGGAATTTTTTATGTAAACAAAAAAAAAGTAACGAGACACAAGAAATAAATAAAAAAGTAAAGTTGAAATATACCCCGAAATTTGACTTTTTTTCTTACCCTTCTCTGTCATTTATGCAAAACAAAAAGGGTTATGTAGACAGCGAATTATTGGGCCGAGCTGGATTTGAACCAGCGTAGACATATTGCCAACGAATTTACAGTCCGTCCCCATTAACCGCTCGGGCATCGACCCAGGAAGAATCTATTAGAACTTTATGGATAATCCACGATCAACTTCCTTTCGTAGTACCCTACCCCCAGGGGAAGTCGAATCCCCGCTGCCTCCTTGAAAGAGAGATGTCCTGAACCACTAGACGATGGGGGCATACTTGCTCAACCGCCATCATACTATGATCATAGTATGATCAGTTTTTTAAAATTGTCAATATAATAAAATGGTATGACTAGCTTATATATAAGTTTTTTTATTTTTTCTATAGCATTCTATATCATTTTTTTTTTTTGAAGTGGAAATATGAAATAAAAAAAAATATATAGAAATATTCTAGTACAGAATCTTTTAAAGAAGTGATTGGTCTGACATAAAAAAAGAAAAAAGAGGGTTAAGTTTCGTTTTTTTTAACTTTCCTTCATAGATTGCCTCATCTCATTGTATTGTATAGTAGTATCTCTATCTAACACTAACTCAATAAAATCAGACAGAATACATCTTCTAATTATTCTAATTAGGGTAATTAGGTAAGAAAGCTAGGTTGATAAGTTAAGTTATCACAAATTTTATTTTTTTTTAGAAAATTATTGTTCAGAGATAGTCCGTATCTCTTCATCATATGTCAAGATAAAATATATTGGATCTATGTCAAATTGCTGAGTACATGTATAAATCAAATGAATTTCGTTATATGTCTATGTGGTAGGCAATTTAAAGTAAAATAATTCATTGCATTGATATTTATAAAATCCAATATAAAAAAAGCAAAAAATCCCCCGTTAAGTACATTTGAAGTAAATTCAAATTCTCGTTTCTAGTTACGAAATGAGCTACTAACCACTATGCGTCTATTGTATATATATTTAATATATATA